TATTTCCCGTAGGAAGTACGCATTTCTATGCTCATCAGCTTTTTGACACGGTACATACATACAGACTGAAGCAAAAGACACAGAACAAGGGAAAATGGGCGGAGTTAGGGGGATTTTATTGAATTCATCAATCCTTTTCGCAACTGATGACAATGAAAATGAAGATACCACCCTTCGATCGGGCGCTGATTATCTTCTTCAAAAGTTGCGCTACTCCAAAATCCTCACTGTAAATTCCTTCAACCCACCAATTCTCTTCATCTGCATTTAAATAAGTTTCAAATTTTTGTTTCATTTCTTTCAAGTTGGTTTAATGTGAAGCGCTTAAGATAAAAAATGGGTTTGCTATTTTAAATGATGGTGTTTTGTATTAACCATCAAATTGTATTGCTTGAAGTATCCAAATTATCTAATTTTGAATGTTTATGTTTCGCTTTTCTTGAATGTTTTTGGTTAAACAAATGTGTTTTGATGCTTTATGGCTAGAGATTAACAAAATACTGGATAGATATTTGACTTTCTATTTCCATGGTTTGTACTTGAGCTTTCCGTTAATTTGGTAAAGCGCCTTTCTGCTAATGTTATTGCTGGGAAGTAACGATACGGCTTGTTGTTTGTAGTGTTGGCATCAGGATGGGAATTAGATAAACTTGTCTTCAATTTTGAATTGATTTTTGTTGATTTATGCTCCAAGATCCATGCCACTAAAGCAAGCCTAAGGCCCTGTTTGACGGCACGAAAATTTATTTTGACAAGTCCTAACTTCTAGACGCCAATTTCCAGCATGGATCTTATGCATTTTGCTTGGAAATTCTCACTGGTAATCTTTTGGAGACCTTTGAGGTGAACTAGCTCACTGTCTTTTCTTAGAATTCATAGCAATGCCCTCCTAGGAAACAGGCAACACAGTAGTGGGCAGTGCGTGTCTGCCTTTATTATTTTCTCCACGAGTTACTGCCAAAGGTTTCCAGAGTCTATTTTGTGGGCTGTGATCCTGTATATCGCCAACGTGAAAGATAATGTAGATAAAAAAGGAAGTCATTGAAAGTATGGAAAATTTCTCTGCTTTCTACATTACCTCTCTTTCAAAAGATTGCTATACTAGGAAAAAAAAAAAAGGAAAAGAAAAGAAAAGAAAAAGATATTAGCAGGAAAATATTTTAGATACGAGTTTTGTAATTAAGCAAAAATGAAGTTAGTCAACTGAAATGAATTGAATGTATTTTTGCTGGGCCATAGGTAATTGTCCATTTTTAAAATTAGAAAAGGATAATTAGTTTCCAAATGTTGCATAATTTTGGCATGACAAGATGAGGACATGGTACAAACTGAATGCTTAACTGGTGACATGCAAGTAGTATATAGGTTACACATAATTCTATTGACATAGACACTTAATTTTAACATATGTTGTAATATTTTTTTTTGCCGTCTTTATATAATTTATCTTGCTGTACCCATGTCATCTATGAATATTTGCAGGGTCTATCTTATGGACAAGGTCTTTCAGCTCCTAAGGTGAGTTTTTCTTATGCTGCTGGCTTATCACATTCTGCCTTGAAGGAGAGAATTTTATCCAAGTTTATAACCTTATTCAATATCCAAACTATTCCAATTTGCTTAGCAAGCAAAAAAGCGATTCTATTTCTGAAGCAGATAGGTCACATATTTTAGCTGTGAAATGAATGGCTCTATATTTTTCATCTGCTAGTAAAATCATTTCTGGTTATTATTGAGTTTTCTATGTGATGACGTTCTCTGACTATGAGTTTACAATACTAGCTGCAACGGTAGTTTCCAGTCTCCATGGATGTAACATATTTATCTTCGTCGACCTAAACTCCATCTTGTAGCAATATCGCTTAAAGTCTTGACTGCCTTGTCTAGCTAGCCAATTAGTTTGAAACAAAACCATGTCACTGTGCAAGACCGTTTCTCTGGACGCATCTCTTATTTTTGATATTCTTGTTTTCAAATATCTAGAAAGTTATAGCTGGCCATGAGTCAAAGCAGTTCTGATAACATTAAAATTGAAGTAGATGACAGTTTTCCATTAATGCTTGTTTCCATTTCTAGTTTACTGGGTGCGTTAATTGTAGTCTTGACATTGTCATTCTAGTTCTTCCCACTGAGAACTATGCTCTGATGACCTATAATATAATACGAACAATGTGATTATTAACAAATGTTTCTGCTTTTTCTAGGCTAATCTTCTTCAAGAGTTAGCAAGAATATACTCATATGATTGTTTTATCTTGAGCTCATCATCAGAAGACTATGGTATGAGTGAGGCCGCACGACTTTGGGGTAAAGACGAAGGAAGTTTTATGCATGTAATTTCTAGTTGTCATGTGGATCTCATTCATAATATGGTCATTTCCGGCTGGTTGATCGTTATGCTTGGTGAGTTTTCCAACTTGCTTGCTAATTAAGAAAAAGTGGAGAGTAAAAAGAAAGGTTTATTTTGTGATTCTTATTAGGTACTTTTTGCTTGTAAAAGATGGCTAAACACTTTCTGGTGTGTTGATTTTTACTTCTGGTTCTTTGATATTGCCAA